TAAGCTTTATATGTATATAAAATAAATTGATATCAATTGAAGAATTCTTAAAGTGTCAAAATTAGTTATAGGATCGATGCACAATTTAAGGAATAGGAAGCTAAAATTCGATTTTTACATTAACTTTTGGAAAAAAAAAATTGTCATTTTATTTTACTCTGAAAAATATTTCATTTATCTTGCAATCCATTATAATTTTAGATAGCATTGTCTTTGGTTACTCATTCATCAAAGATATTCTTAAAGTCTATTAAAAAAAATAAGTTGGAATTAGTATAATTCATATAAAAAGGATTTCAAAATTTGAGTTAAAATTGTGTTATGAAAAAAATCTTTTAAGGAAAAACTCTAACTTTGTTGACATAGAAAAAGAAAAAGTTTAAAAGAAATATTGAAAAATTGAAACATATTTTATTAATTTATTAAATTATAATCTGTATTATTTATATTTAACAAACTATGATTCAACCATCATATTTTATCACTTTTCCTCTTTTAAAATCTAATTAATATGCCTTTCTCTTCATTTCCAACCAAGAGCCAACTTTTTTACCCTATTAATATTCACCTTTGTAAATAATTTAACAATTATCTGAAAACATATCGTGCAACTCAATCCATGGACCAATTTTAATGACATATCCTTCTTCATCATACGATCCACCACCACTAAATAATTTTTCTTAATATTTTATACACTTATTCGCCTTTATATTCAGTTTCCCATAAACCTATTTTTTTACCTATTTTATATTCTCCTTTGTAACTGACTTAATATAAATCTGAAAAATCATAACTCAACTCAGTCCATTTTCCAATCTTACATTAATTACCTACTTCATCAAATTATCCACCACCAATTAATGTTCTTTAATATTAAATTTTATCATTTTTTTTTTCCCTAATATTCTTATGATACCAAATATCCCATCTACCAACTTTCTTCCCATTTTTATAGTCACCAACATAAGTAATTTAAGAAATATCCTAATATTAATCACTTAACTCCGTCCATTTCCCAATCTTACACTCATTCCCTTCATCGTCATATGAACCACCTGCACTATTATAAAATAATATTTGAAAATATATCTTTACAATACTGTAGATTATATTAGCTCTTCCCCTCTATAAAAAATATCCCATCTACCAATTTTTTTACCAAATTTATATTCACCAACTTCTATAAATTTCTATTATCTATAACTATCAACAAAATCTTCACTCAAATAGATCCAATTACCATTCTTCATTCCATTGCCTCCTTCATCATACGATCCCCCCCCACTAAACATTTTAAATATCTAATAATCCTACTTTTATGAATTGGATTTTAACTTCCATTAAATATCCCATCTACCCACTTTTGTACCATTATTGTAATTACCTTGACAAGTAATTTATGATATTTAATCAAATTCTTCCCATCTCCCGATCTTACATCCATTGTTACTTTCATCATATAATCCACCACCACTAAAACATTCCAACATAATATTTCATACAATAATTTACATCCTATTATTAAAATTAAAAATATCCCATCTACCAACTTTTATACCATTTTAATATTCACCACTAAAAGTGACTTTAGGAATATCATTAGACCCCTCGATCAATTCGATCCAATTTCCAATTTTACACCCATTACCTCTTTTATCATATACTCCTCCACCTCTAAATTTATGGACATAAATATTTATTCAAATAATTCTACATTTTTTTTCCATAATACAAAACATCCCAATTACCAATTTTTTTACCATTATGATATTCACCTTTATAAGTTACTCTAGAGTCATCTTTTAACTCCTCATTCAACTCAACCCATTGATTTATTTTGATTTCATCTCCTCCTTCATCATACTATCCACCTCCACTATTATATTTTGAGATAATATTATTACATCTTTTCAATATCATTATAATTTTTCCTAAAAAAATTCCATTTACCAACTTTCTTACCATTTTTATATTAACCATCCAGAATGATTTAAAAATCCATTCTAAATTGGTCGCTTAATTCAATCCATCTCCCATTTTTATACCCATCATTTGTTGAATCATATAAGCCACATCCACTACATATAGATATAATATTTTAAAAGTATTTACATTTATCTAAGTTTATTCAAATTGTAATCTTTATACCAAATATCCCATTAGTTTATATCATCTTAACTAATGAATATATTAATTAAATAATGCTGGTCTTTGGAAACAAAATATATTGATAGTGAATTATTAGTTTTATTGATGTTGTTGGAGAGATTTTGACATAAATACTTATTTTTTTTGGAATGAAATACAAAAATTTCCAAACTTATTTATGTTATTATACATAAGATATTAAGAGATTTTTCATAGCTCTTATTAATGAATAAGATTCTTCCTGCAGAAAAATTAACAATACTTATGTTCCTTAACATTTATGATTAATGGCTTAATGTGAAACCATACATGAAATATAAATAGAATTCGTCATGTAGTAAGGTGTAATTGTTGAAGTTAAACATCAAATAAAGAATTATAATTTAAGCATCTTCATATAATGAACATTTTTTTGGAAAATTTACAATTGTAACATAAAATTATACTTATAATATTCTAATTCTAGATATCCATATGAAATAATATTAAATAGGATTTGATAAAAATATTATTTTCTATATATTTAAGGTATGTATGTTAAATGAGCAACTGAATTAAATTTCAATATGTTCATTCAACAATTTTTAACACTAAATGATAATTATTGCCATTAAATATTCTAAAAATTCTAAAACAGGATTTTTGCAAATAAAAAGATGTAAAAATAACAAAATTGAGATAAAAATGTATTAAATGCATTAAATGTCAAGATTTAACTTAATAAAGGATATTTGTTATAACAATTTAGAAATAATTCTTCAAAATTAAATTTAACAGGAATTACATCATTTTATTATTTGCTTGAAATTCTTGTTTTAAAACACTCAAAATTCTAAAATAATAGAATTATCATTTCTTCATTTCTGATTACTTATAATGAAGTCATTAATTTAATAGAAAATAAATAGA